TTGTCAGTACTTACATAATTACCAGACTGCCAAGAAAGTATTTTTTTTTAATGCCGTTCCTGTTTTGTTTCAAGATTCTGACATCTCAACGGAGTCTTGACTATATACATATTTATATACGTATTTGAGGCATAGAGGTAAAATTTAACATCTCTCCTAGCAAATACGTATAAAGCAAATTTGACTTCTGCCTCCAATAACAGACCAATGCTGTTGCTGTTGATTATGCTGGTGACTACATTTTGTATCTTGAATGACTCAAAGCAAAGAGAGATGGCAGAAGCAGGGGAATTAAATTGACTATTGTCATTATTCATCTTTTCTTTTTTTCATTATTTCTTTTATATCAAGGCAATTTGTGGAATTTGGTATGAAGTAAATGATGATAAACTTCATCGAAATCCTATTTCTTACCATTGATTTCTAAAAGTACATTCAGAAGAACAATAAATGCACGTTCCCCAGTAATTTGACACATGTCTTAAAACTACTAAATACAAAGAAGCATTTTTGGGTACTAGCAATAAGAACAGTGTTCAGATGGAAACTATGATTGACTTGTGAAACTCACCAGCTTTTGAAAACACTGTTGCCCTCAAGGGAGATGAAGTGATTAATGGTATCTGTCAATAACATAGACTTACATTCTTGCACAGCATCAACTTTTGAAGCCTTAGTCAACTATACTAAAGAATAAAATAAGCATAAGTGCTCTGAATCACCTATAGTCCACAAATATTTATTAGATTTGCTTATGCTTTTAAAGGTTTTTTTTTTCTCGAGAGCTCGTGGCTTATACATCTGTAAAAATGGTGTGGGGGTGGTGTTTGACTTCCTTTAACTGCACTTGAGAATTCAAGATCATCAACACAAGGCTGATTCTTAAGAGGCAGGTCAAACATACCTCCTCCAACTTTTTAACTAATTCTGACACCAGCTGGCCCTTCCACAGCGCTGTCTACTTCTCTACTGAAGTTGATAATACATTTGCAGTGTCTACACAGAATTCACAGACAATATTCACAATTATGAGCTTATTAGGAAAGTCTCAGATTACAATTAGGATAAAGAACTACCCAGGACACAGTTCTTCAATCAAGACAAATAGGTGGGACAAATAGGTTCTGAATAAGAAGAGTTTTTCTTGCACACTGTAGTATTGGTAAATGGTCTGTGGTATCATGTTTTTTTTATTTTGATGGCTTAAAGGTCTTACCACATTTCTCAGCTATGCTTCAGCTAATTGATATTTCCAAATACAGTGAACCCTCATTTATCGCGGTTAGTCGGTTCTAGACCCTACCATGATAAATGAAATTCCGCGAAGTAGGATTCCTTATTTGTAAATCA